GTATCAGTGCTTCAGCGCCATATACTAGAGAGAAAGGTGTTTCCCCGGTGCTCGATTTAGAAGTTGTCCGATATGCCCACAGCACCTCGGGCAGCCGATTTAGAAGTTGTCTGATATGCCCACAGCACCTCGGGCAGCGTTTCCCTCCATTTTCCCTTGGCGCTCTCCAATTTCTTTTTCAAGTTGTGAATGATGGTTTTATTCGTCGATTCGGCCTGGCCGTTTGAACACGGGTGGTATGGCATTGACAGGATTCTCTTGATTTTGTTGTCTTCAAGGAACTGTGTTACCTTGTTTTCGATGAACTGCCTCCCGTTATCGCACGTTATTTCGGACGGGATCCCGAACCGGCATATGATGTGATCCCATATAAAATGGATGACTTCCTTCTCTCTTATTTTTTTGAAGGCCTGCGCTTCCACCCATTTTGAAAAGTAATCAGTCATAAATAGAATGAATCTAGCCTTACCTGGCGCCGTCAGCAAAGGGCCGACGATGTCCATTCCCCATTTCATGAATGGCCATGGTGATAAAACGGAATGTAGTTGCTCGCCGGGCTGGTGGATCATGGGAGCGAACCTCTGACACTTGTCGCATTTTCCGATGAATTCCCTGGCGTCTTTTTCCATGCTTTCCCAATAGTTGCCCGCTCTGATCACCTTTCAGACTAAAGAATCGACCCCGGAATGATTTCCGTAGGTGCCTTCGTGGATCTCTCGGAGCACATAATCTGTGTCGTCCGGTCCCAAGCATACCGCCAGGGGGTCATCGAAAGTTCTCCTGTACAGAGCCCTATTTTCGTCGAGCGAGAACCGGGCTGCTTTGGTTCGCAGGGCTGTCGACTCTTTTGGATCTGCGGGTAACTTCCCGTCCTTTAGATAAACGATATATTTATTTCTCCAATCCCATGTCAGGTTGGTGGAGTTAATCTCCGCGTGACCTTCCTCGACCACAGATTTGAACAATTTGACGACAGCTCCGGGGAGCAGGTCTTCTTCTTCTTCAGCAGAGGACCCCATGTTCGCGAGGGCATCGGCCTCACTGTTCTGCTCTCGGGGTACATGGACTAAGGTCCATTTTTTGAAGCGACGTAATGTGATTTGGATTTTGTCCAATACCTTTGCATCCTGTCCTCTTGGGCTTCGTAGCTTCCGTTCACTTGGCTTAGTACGAGGAGCGAATTGCATTTTGCCTCGACAGTCTTGGCCCCCAAACTTTTCGCCAATTCTAAACCTGCAATCATAGCCTCATACTCGCCTTCATTGTTAGTTAGTTTTGCGGTTTTTATGGATTGTCTGATGATGCTGCCGACGGGCGGCTTTAGGACTATACCGAGTCCGGATCCTCTTATGTTTGTGGCACCATCCGTGAACAGGGACCATACCCCCGAGGACATACCTGATTTCAATAAAAGTTCTTTCTCTACCTCGGGCACGAGGGATGGCGAGAAATCGGCCACGAAATCCGCCAGGATTTGGGACTTGATGGCCGTCCGAGGTTGGTACTCGATGTCATACCCTCTAAGTTCAATGGCCCATTCGGTCAATCGACCCGATAACTCAGGTTTATGCAGTACGCTCCGAAGGGGATAAGTTGACAGAACACAGATATAGTGACATAAAGTTAAGGCTTCAGCTTGCGCGAGGCACTTATCAGTGCGAGAGCCAATTTTTCCAAATGGGGATATCGGGTTTCGGTGTCCCCAAAGGTTCGGCTTACATAATAAACAGGAAATTGCGTACCTTGCTCTTCTCGAACGAGTACACCGCTATTTCGGACACGGCTAGGTATAGGTATAGCGTTTCATCCTCCTTGGGTGTGTGCAGCAAAGGCGGGCTAGTCAGGTACCGTTTCAGTTTTTCTAGGGCGTGTTGGCATTCTGGAGTCCATTCGAAGCTGCTCTTTCTTTTGAGTAGGGAGAAGAAATGGTGGCTCTTGTATGATGATCTTGATATGAATCTGCCCAGGGTTGCTATCCTCCCCGTCAGCCGTTGGACGGTTTTTACATTGTTTACTACCGTGATCTCTTCGATGGCTTTTATTTTATCGGGGTTGATCTCGATCCCCCTGTTTGAAACCATGAAGCCCAGGAATTTGCCCGAACCTACTCCGAAGGCACACTTCTCGGGGTTGAGCTTCATGTTGTAGCTTCTGAGGATGTTGAAATTTTCCTGCAAATGGGTCAAATGGTCCCGCACGCATGGATTTGACTAGCATATCATCAATATATACTTCCATCGATTTACCTATTTGATGTTCGAACATTTTATTAACTAGGCGCTGGTATGTTGCTCCCGCGGTTTTTAGCCCGAAGGGCATTACGTTTTAGCAATATGTACCATGCTTCGTGATGAACGAGGTCTTTTCCCCGTCCTCGGGGTTCATCTGGATTTGATTATACCCCGAGTAGGCATCGAGAAAAGTGAGGGTCTCGTGGCCGGCCGTAGAATCGATCAGACGATCGATATTAGGCAACGGGAAAGAATCTTTGGGGCACGCTTTATTCAAATCTTTGTAATCTACGCACATTCTTAGCTTGTTCCCCTGTTTTGGAACTACTACTACGTTAGCTAGCCATTCGGGGTACTTTACCTCCCTAATGGATCCAATTTTAAGAAGTTTCGCTACCTCCTCTTTGATGAAGGCATGTTTTACCTCGGACTGCGTCTTCTTTTTTGCTTTACGGGTTTGAATTTGGGATCAACGCTCAGCCTCTGGGAGGTTATTTCCGGCGGGATTCCTGTCATATCTAGGTTGGACCAGGCGAAACAGTCGATATTGTTTCTAAGAAATTGAATAAACCCTGTCCTGAGTTCGGGGGTCAGCCCCGTCCCTAGGTATACCTTGCGATCCGGGAGGTGCTCAATCTAAACGGTTTGCTCCAGCTCTTCGACTGTTGATCTGGTCGCATCCGATTCCTCGGGGGCGACGAAGGTTCGGGGGACGAAGAAGTCTTCCTCGTCGTCTTTGAGGGTCTGCATGCTTCCCTCCTTGTCTGAGACTGGGCGTGTGGAGGCTGGCGTCTCATGGTGGACCGCATACATTTCTTTTGCTGCCCGCTGTTCTCCATGTATGGTCGTGATGCCATCCCTCGTGGGAAACCTTATCACCTGGTGCAAGGTTGAGGGCACTGCCCTCATGTTGTGTATCCAAGGCCTGCCGAGTAAGGCGTTGTATCTCATGTCGCCGTCGATGACCTGGAACTCGATGTTCTGGATTGCGCCAGACGTGTTGATCAGGAGGGTGATCTCTTTCGCCGATCATGTTAAAGCCGTGGAGGATTCGAGGGACGGGAACGACTTGATTGAGCATCCCCAGCTGTTCTACTACTTCTGACCTAATTATGTTGGCCGAGCTGCCTGGATCCACGAGCACGCGCTTTATCCTGGTGTTGTTTAAGAGAAACGAGATCACTAGCGCGTCGTTGTGCGGTTCCATCGTAGCCTCGAGGTCCTCCTCGCTGAATACAAGGGTATCTTCGGGCACGCGTTTTCGGGTCGGTCCTTCTCCCATAGCGGACATTCTCATTCGTTTGAACATGGGTCCTTGGGGATCGTTGGTTCCCCCAATAATCGTGTGGACGTTATGTTGGAGAACCTTCCCTTCTGTCCGGGTTAGCTCCGGTGGTGTACCGGCCTCTAGGGCTATCGTGTCCTTTTCTCTGTTGTTTTCGAGGTTCCGGTTTCCCATTTTACTCGCCGAGCTAGGCGCTCTGTCATGAAACCGAAGATCTTAGGCCAGAAAAAGTGTGAGAGATAATTTGCGTTTTTGAAATGAAACCAGCAAGAAAATAATCACTATTATTTTTAGCCCCACGATGGGCGCGAAACTGTTTACCGTGAAAATAGTAACAACAAATAAATTTGTAAATGAAATTCTAAAAATACGTGATCTATTTTTATGCTAGTTGTTAGAGCAGTTGAAGCTAAGAGTATGAAGTTTAATGAAGAGATACAAGCTGAAACGGGGCAGTAATCAAACCCAGGGGCTTGTCGCCCGAGCCTCGGACTGGTTGATGAAGGAGCCTCGGGGCCGATATTCAGCTCGGTCTCGAGCTATCGGGGGTAGTCGGGATGGGATAACAGTTGAGATATGATCAAGCAAGGCTCTTTATGGCCAATACCAAACAATAAATGAAGAACAAGTATGAAAGCAATAAATGTTAAGAGTGACCTCGAGCTAATAAGAACGAACAAGTTAGAGAGAAGAGAGGGAGAAATATTATTGATCTTGTGGAGAATAGTTGGAGCAACGTCAGCCGAGAGACTACAAAGTAATGGGGATCCCCTTTATATAGGAGGGAAATCCGCTATAGTACAAAATGTGGTAACTGTGAAGGCGTGGAGATAGGATGGCTGGATATGACATCTCGAAATAGGCCCCGGATAGGTCAGCCTTGTCAGATTAAGCCTTGTGCCTTGGGAACTCCCCTCTTGCCTGTTGTAGCCCGCTATAGCTGTTGGAACGCGATGCCCTCCGGACCGATACCTGACCACCCCCGAGGGTGAGTCTCGACCTTGGCTTCGAGCTTCGAGGAGCATGACCGCGAGATGACTCTATGATGGGGAAATTGGGCCCCTGGATTCGCCGTATACACATTTACAAAGCAATTAGATTTGACATTTTATTAGCTTAACTAACATTGCTTCAGCTTTACTATTCTGAGTCTAACATCCTCTATTGTGTAGTTAGCTGAGTGACTATATAGCTGGGTCAAGTAACTATTGGATGTCAGAAAATCACCTTATGTGGTATAAAATTAAATGCGTTTCTTGAGCACTCAAGTAATGTTGGAGGATAGCATTCATCCAACATACTACGATTCCAGGAGTTAGCTTAATAAATGATAATTCTCTTGCAAGGGAAAATTAGAGTTCAAACCCCTTTTCTCCAATTGAAAAAAATAGTATCAGCATATTGGATGTGTGGTCGCTTTTTGCATAATTTGTTTTTCAGGTGCCAATACACTTTCCTATATTCATTCTGTTGGAATTTCACAGGTTATGCACAAAATGGAGTAAATGAAGACGCACTCAAGTTACTGGTTGAGATGCTTAGGGTGTCTCTTCGACCAGATCAGTCTTCATGTGCTTCAGTTCTTTCTGCATGTGCTGCTCTTGCATCTCCTTTAGTTGGTAGACAAACTCATGCAGTTGTCATTAAATTTGGGGTAGACTCCGTCGTCTCCATATGTAATGCTCTAATTACTATGTATAGCAAATGTGGCAGCATTTTTGAGTGTGAGTTGACTTTTGAATTAATAACAAGTCCAGACCTTGTCTCTTGGAATACTATAATTGCTGCCTTTGCCCAACACGGGTTGTATGCGAAAGCAGTTGCATATTTGGAGCAAATGGTTCTCAGAGGATGTGAACCAGATGGTATAACATTCCTCAGCTTATTATCTGCTTGTGCCCATGCAGGGTTGGTTAGTGAGAGTATTTCTTGGTTTGATTCAATGGTAAAAAACTACAAAATTACTCCAAGACCGGAGCATTATGCTTGTTTAATTGATATACTTGGCCGAGCTGGTCAGCTGGACAAGGCTTACAACATTATACAAGAGATGCCTTTTAAAGCTGATTTAGCTGCTTGGGGTGCCCTTCTTGCTGGCTGTCGCGCTCATTCCAATGTAGAACTAGGGCAGCTTTCTGGAGAGAAAGTCATGGAATTAGGTGGTGATAGTTCAGGGCCTTACATTATGTTATCTAATATATATGCTGAAGCAGGTATGTGGGAGGAGGTTACAAGAGTGAGAGGCTTGATGAAAGAACATGGCATCAAAAAGAAACCGGCATATAGTTGGACGGAGATTGAAAATAAGGTACATTATTTTCTGGGAGGGGATATCTCTCATCCAAATATTCAAGAAATCCGTACAGCACTCAAGCAGATGAACTTGCAGATGAAATTCCAGGAAAAAGTTCTGGATTTCACCGACTTTTACTTCCTGGATGAACTGGAATGCGCATGTAATTAACATATCTATGTCCTGTAAACTATTCAAATTTGGCAAAATTTGGACTCTCCCTGAAAGTTCAGGATCACTACTGCCTGAAATGCTCATTTAGCACCAAGTTCTTGTCCAAGCAAAATGAAACTTTTCCACCAGGAGCACAATGATCGTCTTTAAATAGGCAGAAGCAGAATGGTCATTCTTATGCGATTTCTGGGGAACTGATAGACTTTGGCGATCAGAGTTTAGACCATGGAAGCTGGAAGATTATGAAAGGTAATTGTGAGCTGATCTCCCATTTTTCATATTGTTTGGTAATAATCGCTCTTGGATGATACAGAAATGTAGGGGCTGTAGTCCATGAATAGAGGAAACAACAACAATAAACCCAGTGTAATCCCACAGGTGGGAGAAAGAAGGAGGCGGATAAAAAGGGAGGCGGCGATTTGTCATTTGAACACTGCACTATTCAGTAACAATATTTCTCTAACTATAACCTTAGAGAAAGGTTTTATACTCTCTCCTGAACCACTCCTCCCCTCCTCCTCCGACAATAATTACTATTATTACCTTTCCTTTATCTCAATTTACAGTATGTTATTTTTTTAATGAAGGTAATAAGACTGTTTGATTTATCAATTTACAGGACGAAAGAAAACGAGTTTACACATTTATATTTGGAATCATAATTAGGAACCTGAAATTCAAAATTCAAGCTGTGAAAGTGAAAACTATTGTAGTCAAGTAATCGACTTCAATTGTTTTCAACCCCTCCCTGCTCTAATAAAATTATCTCAATTTTCAAGCTATTTGCACCGTCATGAGTTTATTGAAATTTTGAGTATTGAGAATGATATTTGTAGTGGTTAAATGGAGTATTAGGGGAAGGAAAGCAATTTGGATTTCTGATAAATACAAAACTGTTGAACAACGAAAAGGATTTATTAGATGCAGGAGCTGCACAAAGGTGGAGGCTAATAAATCGTTTTCTTTAGGCCGCAAAATTTTGAGTTCTCCAAAAATTTAATAGTGAATTTTATTATTTTTATTGAAGTTTGTAGGAAAAAGGTACAAAATCTTTTTAAAAAAATAGAAGAAAGAAAACAGTAGAAATATTTTAGAACCTTGAATAAACTACTTAACCATATTAATAACTAATTTTTTGTACGACAACATCTAAGGTAATGATATATTCAAATATATCACTTCGAACGTATTTGGGCTTATAACTGTATACAGTCGAAATCAGGTATGACCGATTTTTCGGACTCGAAGGGTCACCTTAAGCCCGAGTTCGGGATGGATCGAGTTTGAGCTCGAGGGACAAAGATCGAGCTCAACGAAAGAGTACGAGGCTCGAAGAATCTAGTGTTCGAGAAATGTCAGAGCCTAATGTGATTGGCCTCGAGATAATGCCGTTATGGATTTGTAACAGAATGAGCAAGATTACCATGGCGTAAATCCCGGAATAGATTTGTACGAATCCGTACTACGCAGTTAGACAACTGTCCCAATAATATTCTTTACTGTAAATAGAAATGTACCTTATTTAGGGTTCCCCTATTATATAAAGGGGACCCCAATTATTTGTAAAGATCATCTAATCATTGGCAAAGAATATACTCCCTTACTTTTTCGTTCATTGTTTATTAGAATTGTTCTTTAGCTTTATTATTCTTGCTTTATCGTTCTTGATCCATCTCGAGGTCACTTTGGCTCGAGGTTGAGACTGGTCTAAATTCTGGTTTGATTTTACTTGTTCCTTTCATTTATACTTTAGATTTCTTGGTTATTAATTGGTATCGAACTAATCACGTATCTTTAAAATCATAAATCAAATTTAATTGTTACTCGTATTTTTGAGGTAAACAGTTTGGCGCCCACCGTGGGGCTAAAGATAATAGTGATTATTTCAGTGCCGATTCTCATAACACACATTATTTTTACACTTGTTCTTGTCAAGAATTTTTGATTCTCAGGCTAAAACATGTCAAACTTGCAAAATGCACATGTATACGACAACGATGGTCTTGGATTTCATGGAGAAAATAACAATGTAGGGGTCGGTGTACCACCAATAAACCCTAGGAAAGTGCCAAATATGGAACCGGTTGATGTTAGTTCACACATTGCTTTGAACGCAGATTTAGGCACAAACCACGTGGGAAGTGTACGCAGGGAAGCCCGATCTGGTGGCCAAGGAACGCAGGGTATAAGAGATGGGGGAGTTAGCCTCCAAGTGATATTCGAAATGCTTCAAGCTCAACAGATTGCCATCGATCAACTTCAAAGTCAGAATAAAACTTCGAGTATAGCCGAACCAGAAAACACTCGACGTGCTGAACCGGCGCTAGAGAGATCAAATGGTCGTGGCTCGGGGACTGACCCCACAATTATGAGGATGCTCGAAGAACTCACCAAGAGGTTTGAGTCCGGGAAAAAGAAGATTGAGGATAATGACAAAAAGGTGGAGACTTATAACTCCCGTGTTGATCAAATACCGGGGGCACCTCGGATCTTGAAAGGTTTGGATGCCAAAAAGCTCATACAAAAGTCGTTCCCTCCGAGTGCAGCTCTGAAGCCCATTCCTAAAATGTTTCGCATGCTCGTTATACCCAAATACAAGGGACAACTGACCCTAATGAGCATATTACTTTGTATACTTGCGGGATTAAAGAAAATGATTTAAATGATGATGAGATCGAATCGGTATTATTGAAGAAATTTGGGGAAGCTTTGTAAAAGGGAGCCATGATTTGGTATCACAACTCGACCCCGAACTCTATCGATTCGTTTGCTATGTTAGCAGACCCCTTCGTAAAAGCACATGCAAGGGACATAAAGGTGGCAACGAGGAAATCAGATGTTTTTAAGATAAGACAGAGGAACAATGAGATGTTAAAGGAGTTCGTATCCTAGTTTCAAATGGAGCGAATGGAATTACCACCGGTCTCGGATGACTGGACAGTACAGGCTTTTATGCAGGGTTTGAACGAGCGGAGTTCGATCGTGTCTCGACAATTAAAGCAGAATCTTATCGAGTATCCAGCTGTGACGTGATCAGGCGTGCATAATCGTAACCAATCGAAGATCAAGGTCGAGGAAGACCAGTTGGGAGCCCCCTCGGGTTCAGTTCATCCTAATAGATTGACAACTTAGCCCCCGAGGGATACAGACAGGGAATCAAGATCGAACAAAGAATGGTATCAGTCATATGTAGATCGGAAAAACAACGGCTCAGGGCGTAATGATCCTCAGAATGATTGAAGAAATGATCGAGGTCAAAAATCTCGGGGACTCATGAGTAAGAATAGGTTCGATAAACATACCGACTAAGCGGAAGCACCTCGATTATTGGAGTATAATTTCAGTGTAGATGCATCGGGGATCGTGTCAACTATTGGAAGAATCAAAGACACCAGGTGGCCCAGGCCTATTCAAAACGATCCTTCTCAAAGAAATCCAAATTTGATGTATAAGTATCATGGCACACATGGCCATAAAATTGAAGACTGCAGGCGGCTAAAGGAGGAAGTGACTCGGTTGTTCAACTAGGGTCATCTTCGAGAATTTCTCAATGATCGAGCCAAGAACCACTTAAAGGAAAGAGATACAAACAGAAAAATGAGCAGGAAGAACCGCAACATGTAATCCATATGATCGTTAGCGGTGTCGATGTTCCACAAGGGCATGTGTTCAAACGCACCAATGTGTCGATCACCAGAGAAAAACAGACTCGAAGATATGTGTCCAAGGTCATCCTACCATTCAATGACGAAGAAGCGGAAGGCATATCTCAGCCACACAATGACACCCTGCTAATTTCTATTTTGTTAAATAAAATTCAAGTGTAACGTATTCTAGTAGATACAGGTAGCTCAGCAAACATAATCAAATCGAGGGTCGTAGAGCAGCTCAGTCTACAAGATCAAATTGTACCTGCATCCCGAGTCCTAAATGGCTTCGACATGGCAATCCTACCAGTGAACGTGGCCGGAACCATCCAAGGTACGAAATTCCATGTCATCGAAGGCGACATGAGGTCTAATGCACTTCTTGGGAGGCCATGGATCCACAACATGAGGGATGTACCTTCAACCCTTCATCAGATGATGAAATTCCCAACAGTATATGGCGTGAAAATGGTCTACAGAGAACAACATGCTGCAAAGTAAATGTTTGCAGTCGATGAAGTGACACCGATTCCAGTGCCTTCGACTTTGGAAAATCGGGGGCCAAAGATAAATAGGCGGCCAAATAGCAATCACCGATTCCAGTCCCGATCGAGCCGGAGGAACATGTAGTCGAAGAAGAAGAAGATGGTTTCCTTACTCCTCGAACTTTCGTTGTTCCCAAAGAGTCAGACGCAACCAAGTCAACGGTCGAGGAACTAGAACATGTCATACTAATTGAGTACATGCCCGAGAAAAAGGTATACTGGGAACGGGATTAACCCCCAAACTTAGGAAAAAACTCATTCAATTTCTTATCGATAATATGGATTGTTTTGCTTGGTCCCATTTAGACATGACAAGGATCCCGTCGGAAATAACAATGCACCGGCTAAGCATCGACCCCAGGTTAAAACTAGTAAAGCAAAAAAGGAGACCCTAGTCCGAGGTGAAGCATGCATTCATAAAGGATGAGGTAACCAAGCTTCTTAAAATATGGTCTATTCGGGAGGTAAAATACCCCGGGTGGTTAGCTAACGTAGTTGTAGTTCCTAAAAAGGGAAACAAACTTAGAATGTGCGTAGATTATAAAGATTTAAACAAAGCATGCCCTAAAGACTCTTTTCCACTGCCTAACATTGATCGCATAATCGACTCCAGAACCAGCCATGAGATCCTTACCTTTCTCAATGCCTACTCCGGGTACAATCAGATTCAGATGAACCCAAAGGACCAGGAGAAGACCTCATTTATCACTAAGTTTGGAACTTATTGTTACAACGTAATGCCCTTCGGGCTAAAAAATGCAAGAGCTACATACCAACGCCTAGTTAACAAAATGTTCGAGGAACAGATAGGTAAATCAATGGAAGTTTACATTGACGATCTGTTGGTTAAGTCCCCGCGCGCAGATGACCATTTAACTCATTTTCAGGAAACATTCAATATCTTGAGGAAGTACAACATGAAGCTTAACCCGAAAAAGTGTGCCTTCAGAGTTGGCTAGGGAAAGTTCCTCGGCTTCATGGTATCTAATCGGGGAATCGAGATCAACCCCGATAATATCAAGGACATCGAAGATATCACAATCATGGATAGTGTGAAAGTCGTGAAAAGGCTAACAGGACGAATAACCGCCTTGGGTTAATTCATTTCGAGGTCATCAGATCGAAGTCATAGGTTCTTTTTCTTGCTCAAAAAGAAGAAGGATTTCGCATGGACCCTGGAATGCCAACAAGCGTTAGAAGAATTGAAGCGATACTTATCGAGCCCACCTCTACTTCACACCCCGAAGGTAGATGAAAAGCTTTACTTATATTTGGCAGTATCAGAGATAGCGGTAAGTGGGGTACTAGTTCGAGAAGAACAAGGTATGCAATTCCCTGTTTATTATGTAAGACTCTAGAGATGCTAAAACTAGATACCCTCACTTAGAAA